CTCTCTGTACCTTTCTGCAGGTTGCCCTGGCCCTGGAGCTCTATGTCTCTGACGAGCAGTCACCAGCCACATCGACCTGATCAGTGTTTGATTGTTGTGTCTTGTTGCTTTTCTTCTTTTGTCTCTCCTCTATCCACTCACCCCAACCGGTCGAGGCAGAAGGCCGCCCACCAAGAGCCGGGGTCTGTCGGAGGTTTCTTCCGTTAAAGGGAGTTTTTCCTCCCCACTGTCGCCAAGTGCTTGCTCAAGGGGGATTTGTTGGGTTTTCCCTATGTAATAATATTGATAACAGTAAGGTCTAGACCTTAGTTTGTAAAGTGTCCTGAGATGACTTTTGTTGTGATTTGGCGCTATACAAATAACATTTGATTTGATTTGATCTACAGTGATTTAACAAAGTGAATACAAGCTGATGTTATCAGGGAAATCAAAGTTCATGTCAGAGACATGCACATTTCTTGCTTCAGATTGTCACTGGTGTGTAATTAGTCTCCATTGAACACACTGATATATTGAGTGGACGATGACGTGTTATTTCCCGGCGCATCAAGTTCTAACAGTTTATTTGTTGTTCTGGGACAGGTGGTAGAACCCGACGCCCTCTGATTGTGTTGAAATGACACGTTATTTATTGCCGTGCACTGCTGGCATCAACGGCACATTTTCCTTTCCTCACTTTGTCCTCCGCCCACTCGCTAGGGTTTCTAATTATAGCTGCTCCAGTCACCTACCCAGCTGAATCAGTGTGAGCAGAGAGTGAGCACATTAAAACGACGAGGCCCAGTTTTCTGGTGTGCAGTAGTTTCAGGAAGTAGTCAGACCCCTTCACTGTTTGCACACTTTATGTTGTAGATTTGCCATATTGGCAGTTATTATTATTTTATTTATTTATTTATTTTGCTCCCGTGGAAACAGTTGAATCTTCAAGTCTGTGCACACCTGAATTTGGGCAGTTTGTCCCCTTCTCCTTGCAGACCCTCTCCAGCACTGTCACCCTGGATGGATCCTCGTTTCTGGGTCTCTCCACAAATGTTCTCTGGGCTTTAAGTCCGGTGTCTGGTGGGGCCCTGAGTGACTGTGAGACTTGTCCTGAAGCCGCTCCACTGTTGCCGTGGCCGTGTGCTTTAGGGTTGTCATTGACTGAAGTATAGTGTTGACCCTAAGTGAAATAGTAAGAGTCAAATTTGAACCTAAATATTCGGAGCAGGCAGAGTTACACCAGCATGTTACAGCGACGCTACAGGATCTGATTATAGATGGATTGAAATCAGAGACATTTAGTGGCTGATGCAAAAAGCCCTTTCTCTACTGTGTAGTGTGAGGAGAGAGTTCTGAAATTCTTCTTTGGAAAAGGTGTATGTGATTTATGTCCAAAGACGGCAAGACAGGAGTATGCTGAGTCCCTGTGGACAGATGAGGTGCTGTGTGTATCAGGCTCCGACTGTCATGCACAAGCTGCCCAGACATCTTCAGTGTTTGCAGTGAGGCTGGTCCAAACCTTCAGTATGAAAGCTGACACCCTTCAGAGTAGAGATGGCTGATTCCCGTTCATAATGCTGTCAGGGAGCCTGAGATTTCCTGTGCTCTGCACAGCCTTCACCACACAGGCAGCACTAACAGAGGATCATGGTGCAAATAAAAGGCTTCAGAAACGTTCATTCAGCTCAAGACGCGTCCCTGTTGGCCAAGATGTCACTTACATTTTCACATTTGTTGAACTAACTGAGAATAATCAGGTGTTGGTGCTGGAAGCTTTGCTCATTTCTCACTTACTTCCATGTTATTTTTACATAGATTCAGTCTCTTGGATGTGTCGATGGATGAAGTTCCTACACGGCTGTGAGTGGTAGCCATGTACTTGCTTGTTTATTAGTAGTCGGCCAAAACCAGCTTCTTTTAGGTGCAAAGACCAAACTAGTCAGCCCTCAGTCTAAGGTGAGCATCTTGAGTCGCTGCTGTTTTATTTAGTCTGGTGTTCATCAGGCATCTCAGGAGGACTTCTAGGAATTGCACTGAAAGTTACCTTAGGACCTCAGAGTCAGACCTATTTATGAAGCAACTCAATTAAGAAAATCTCAATTCTCTTAATTTCATCCTCATTTCCCTCGCTTGTGTCTTTTTCTTGTACCTTAATCCTGCCCACATAAGATGTGAGTAAGCAGGAAACGCGTTTATACAAACGTGAGACCTCCGATCCTTCATCTGAGGAGTTTCTGATAAAGGGGTGTTTTGGGCCATAAAAGTCTTCCACACTTGTCAGAGCAGGAGTAAGAGCTTCTGGATGTCTGAGCTGTGGGACGTCCTTCAAGGTGGTGGATCAGAACAACTCGAGCAAGGATTAAGGACCGACCAAATAAAGGAATTGGGATTTACCCCTCCTCTCACTTTCAGCCAGGAGAAATCCGACCCCTAAGAGCAAGTGTGACGTCACTGTTTTATGAGACTCGGAGCAGCAAAGTCGATACCATGCTGTTGTTTTTCTGACAGTTGAGGTTTCCAGTTCGACAATGGTAATATCGAAACACCAGATTTCAAGTGATTGGGCACAAAGCTGGTGAAGATGACAGTCATTAGATAGTTCAGTAATATGTGTATCACCAATTCTCTTTGTGCAGTGAAAACCATTGTAGTGACTCCACTGCATGAGATTCTCCTGATCAGCACTGTTCTGTAGTAAAGCTGTTTGTTCAGCTGGTGACTTGAGTCTGCTCTCACTGAGGACTCCTAAGGATCTGTTAGGCCTCTAAGTCAAAGATCACGTAGTTCAGAACCACTTGGGTGTTGATGTGTCAACCAACAGATCAACCAAGCTGTATCGTAACACAAACTCAGTGTTTTTAAGTGCTAGCACAACGTCTCTCCTCCCACAACGTCTGCACACATCTCTGTCTGCATGCCGCCTCCTGGCAGCTCCTCTGGAGCTCACCTACCTTTTGGTGGAAGAGAACGTTGGTAAAATGCTTCTGCTCCTAAAAGTAGGATGTGTCTCACTGATTTCCTGCTCTGAGATGCTTGAGAAATACGGGCACCTACCTGCTCGTACGGCCCCCAGTGCACACAGGTGTAGTTTGACCCCCGTACTGGGGAGACACCAGCTGCACAAACTTGATGAAAATGTCGGTTGAGACCTATACAGGGTCTTTTTATTTATTTATTTTGACATCATTTATGTGCAGGAGGTAAGAGAAAAGAACAGGAGACGAAATGAGGGAGATGGGGAAGCAGGGAGGGCAGGAGAAGGATGGGAGGGATGGGCTTTGGCAGCCGACTCCCCTGGAGAGAGATGGTGTGTCACTGCTGCCATCTCTGTAGTCTCTCGCCCTCTCTCTCTCATTTAGCTTCCTTTCATACTTGCATTCATGAAAAGTTCATGGCTGTTTCTGTCTCTCATGCTCCCTGTGCTGTCTCTCTGCACAACACTTTAAGCCAATCAATCCACTTAGAGACAGACTTTCAGGGAGGATGTAACAGAGCAGGCTTGGGGGGGTGAAGGGGAGGAGGTCGGGATGGGAGGGTAAATTCTTAGGAGGTGGGAGGAAGGATTCAGGGAAGGAGAAGAAAGATGAGATTCATTGGCACCACAGGTCGTTTTCCTGTCTGTTTCAGATGTGTGCATTTCGTGTTCTTTGGCGAAGCGACTTGACGAAGTGTCTGTGCCCTTCGTTCTGCCTTTCACCGCTTGCCCTTGGTGTACAGCAGTAAAACACGTGAGAGGCTGTGTGTGTTGCAGTCAGCCAGATATGCTAGTGGAAGGCAATGTGTGGCGGACAGGGAGGCAGTAAAGGAAATGAGTGTATGAGGGAGAGGCGTTTGATATACGGAGGGAGTGCTGTGCTGAGAGGACGGGTGGACTTGGCCAAGAGGAGCAGAGGACACTGGTGTCATCCCATCTGTGTTTAGTCATCCGCTTTGTTGCTCTTGTCGCATTCAGCACAACAACACGGAGAGTGTGACACATGTAGCCTATACACACACACACACACACAACTACCTTTCACACTCGCTGTGTTTCTGTGATGAACATACAACGTGCTTAATAAACCAGCGCTTCTCTTTTGGCGTGACCCTGCTCCCTCACATACACAAACTGCAGCAGCAGAGTGCAGTCGGTTAGCTAGAGAACAGTCTGGAAGCATCGCTCTCATCTAAATTATTCACAGGCTCCTGTCGAATGTGCACGTTGGATAGAGAGAGAAGACTGTGCATCTAATGCATGCACTGTGTGTGTGAGTGCACTGTAATGTGATGGCTTCACAGTGTGATTGTCAAGTGCAAGTGTGCACTTAGAGAGAGGCATAAAGTGTGTGTGTGTGTGTGTGTGGTGTGTGTGTGTGTGTGTGTGCGCAGCACTTACCCAGTGATGGGCTGATGATGGGCTTGGGGTGGTGTAATGCATTCCTTCGGTCAAGACCTCAGCTTACACGCCAAGTCTGAAATATGAAACTGTTTACCAAACAGGAAGGTTATGCTGATTAAAAACCAGGGGGCCACCACCAGACACATAAAACCTGTGATGGTGCCTGGACACATCATTACCATCATAACTGCAAATAGTTTCACCTGCCAGACGTGATAAAATATTAACACTGTGATGCACAGTGGATTATTTATTGTAACGACTGTCAGTGTGAGAACAGGAAACTGTTGCAGCCTTGGGATGGGACTGAGTTGGCTCGGCATATAAGCACTGACGGTAAAGTCGTGACAGAGGTGTAATGGGATGAAAACTGTTGACGTGGTTCTTGAATCTGATGCAGCCTGTGCCCAGGTTTGGCACACAGGACAACAAGGGCATCGGTCCCAGTGGAGACAAACTGGTTTAGTGATGTCAGGGTGACTTGCTCTGACTTTATGGCTCAGTCTCCGAAATCATTTCCCATAATTCAACTCGGCTGTATTTTTTGTTATGGGATGGTAAACAACACAAGCACAAATATCTGGGCTGCCACCTTCCTCCCTGTGGCGTCAGCAGGGTCTTAACACTCTTTGTACCCCCACAGCAACGGCCAGTCCAGCAGTCTCTGGCCTCCTCCCTGTGCCGGGAGTCCCACTGGAAGTGCCTCCTCCTGACCCTCCTCATGTACGGCTGCTTCGCCACGCTCACCTGGTGCGCTCTCTGTCGGGTACCTGTCCTCGGCTCCTCCTCCATACCTCTCGGCATCGACGGTGATGCCACCTCGGCGGCCTACTACAACGACATCCTGCATCTAGAGAGTCCGTGCTCCAGTGGCTACGTGTACATCCCCCTGGCCTTCCTGGCCATGCTGTATGTGGTCTACCTAGTGGAGTGCTGGCACTGCTTCTCCAAGACGGCCATGCTGTCTCATGCTGAATTCCAGGTAACTGTCCAATGATTGATTTACATACTGAGTACGTAACGGTCTGTCTGACACTGAAGAAGACCAATCCTGTAGAATCATGGTGCCACCGTTCTTGTGAATTAATTTTTTTGTTTGTTTTTAATAAAATAATGTCATTTATGGACACTGCCACGTACTTATGGAAGCCCATTCCCGCCAGTTAAATGAGAAATAAAACGCTCTAAGTCGTTATTTCTACTTAGCTAAGTAGAAATTCCGACATATCTAAATCGAAATTCCGACTTATCTATGTCAAAATTCCTACATAGCTCAAAGTATCTTTGCGTAAGCCCTGCTACCGGGAGTA